GTGCTGGCCTTGGAATGAAACCGAGATTTCATGGTGGCACACGCCTGTAATCCCAGCACTAGGAAGGCTGAGACAGGAGGATCACTCCAAGTCCAAGCTGTGTAGCAAGACTCTGTACCAAATAAATAAATAAATAAAATTTAAAAATGTCCTTGATGTCCTTTCCCATTAAGGAGTTCACCCACAAGGTGAGAAATACTCTGTATTTATTGCATAGTGGCTAAGAGTCAGACCTACCTTTTTTTTTTTTTTTTTTTTTGTATTTAGTACAGGGTCTATAGGGTCTCACTACATAAACTGGACTTGTAGTGATCCTCCTGTTTTCAGCCTCCCAAGTGCTGGAATTATAGGCATGTGCCACCACGCGCTGTTTCAGTGTGCCTCGGGTGGTAGGACCAGCACAGCATGCTGGGGATCAAACCCTGGCCTCTGTGCTCTGCCTAAGCAGGTGCTTTAGTCTCCTGAGCTATTTGGCCAGCCCTAAGACCTACTTATTTGGAAATCCTGACTTGTTTTCTGCCTGTGATCTGGGCCAATTCCTTCATATCCTCGAGACTGAGATTCTCCATGTGTGAAACAAGAAACAAATACAAGAGAGAATGGTGATGTAGAGGGAGTGAAGCTCCTGATGCTGAACGAGTGGGCAGGTACTGACAGCTGTACTGAGGTGTGCTAGGTATTAAAGTGGGAGTCCAAGGTAGCTTGGGAAAAGGAGACTTGGAACCTTGTTCCTAGAAGTAGTGCTGGATTTAGGACTTGGTTGGTAAATTAGGGATTAGATTAAGTGGTGTGCATGTGAAGCAAAAGGAACGTTTACAAATTATAAATGTGCTTCATGTTAATTTTGTTTGTGAATATAGAGTAATTTTAATAACAAAATACTTTAAAAATTGGCATAAAATTGTAATTTTGTGCTTAAAATATTAAGTCATTGCTTCAAGTGTTCGTTAACTACAGTGTAGAAATGTAACAACTTAAATGCCACCTGAACAATCTGAGGATAAAAACCTATGCAAACAAGTTTCTTTTTTCTTTGTACTGGGAATTGAACCCAGGCAAATGTTCTCCCACTGAACATTCCCCAGCTCAAGGTGGGGGTTTATTTAATGTGTCTGTTAATTATTTAGGACTCCATTTTATTGGATGTCCCAAGAGGGTATTAGGTTTGGATCACCATGACCTGAAAAAAATCAATCTAAAAGAGGAAGGGTTGCTTTGGCTCCCAGGTTCAGAGGTTCCAGTCCTAGTGAGCTGGCCCCATTGCCTCAGGTCCGAAGGGTCTATGAGGTATTCAGGGAATCACTATTAGATCGGACTCCTAGTGATCCTCCTGTTTGCAGCCTCCCAAGTCCTGGGATTACAGGCACGTGCCACCACGCTGAATCTCATTCTCTGTCTCAGCACTCCCTGTGGGTGGGGGTGGCACAGCAGGCCCTGGGATCAAACCCCTGGCCCCTGTGCCTGCTTACAGGTGCTTTAATCCACTCAACTATTTGGCCGGCTGGACATTTCAGATTTAAACCATGACATAGAGCCTCGTATTAATTACATTTTCTTAATTTTGATTAATTTGATGAAAATTTTCTGTCTTACCACTTTTTTATGGTCATATAACCTATGAAAATGTTAAAAATAGTCCGAAAGATATCCCTTTTGATAATATGGCCATGATGAAATCCCAGAAATCTAGCCAAATATGTACTCAGTTATGTACGTGAAGATGATAATAACATTGGCATTTGTTTTGAGTCAACTTTATAAGGACTGAGCTGTGTTTTCAATTGTTTAAATGACAACCTCCTTTTTCTTTACTTTTTTGTTTGTTTGTTTGTTTTTGGTGGTTTCTGGCTTATTTCTCAAAATGTTAAAAGGCAAAACCAAGTACCTGGAGACCCTCAGCCGACAGGTGCCATGGTATGTCAGCAGTGAAGCATTTAGCCCTTACTGTTTAGAGCTAGAAACTTGCATTATTTTTCCTTATGTTGGCTTCTAGACAGGAAAAAATATATCTATCTACTGCCCTGATCATCTTCTAGCAGTGGGAGACATTTCTTTTTAACTGCATTCAACCTTGAGCTGGTCTGTCAATGAGAGATTATTGCCAAACCAGTGTGCTAATAGGAGGAGGACTTCAGATAGCCCAAGGATTCTAATTTAGAACAGCTCAATCTTGTCTTTGTTTTAAAATATATTGACCTGAGATGCCACATCTGTCCAGACAGAAGGCACATTATTCTTAGCCTACCTACTCTTTAAAAGAAAGCCAAAGGATGTGTTAAATCCAGTTTACTGCACCCCTACTTATTATTGTCATCCAGTTTCTTTATGTTATCATTATGTTTCTGTGCTGTCATTAAACAGTCATTTCCCTGAAGGAAAACATTCATGGCTCTTGTCATTTATAATACCAGGACACTAGTGTTAAAGTCCCTTCTTGAATAAAGAGATATTGCTCTCAGAGCCATTCGTGCATTGACACAGCTGGCTCGGGCAGCTAAGTCAACCCTAGAGAATCCCTAACTGTTGGGGGATTTGGCATCCTGCCGGGAGCTGTCGGTGCCTTCCCACAGTGAAAGTAGTTGCTGTGATTCCTGTGTAGATACCTTCTTTTTGTCTGCCTTGGACCAGGTAGTGAACTGCCTGAAAAAGGTCATTTTCCTGTGTTGCCTTTGAGCAGAAATAATTGTTTTAGATTTAGGCCTTAGCAATTTGTTATGTTCATCTGATGCGTGACAAGCCTACAACTGTATGAATTCCCCAGGGAGCCAGGAACTTTGAGTTCCTATGTGGTTTGGGCCACTGGCCGTGTGACAGCCTAGAAGGCCAGTGTTTTCTCTTGCTGATAACTGCTAGTTACGTGAAGGCCCTGGTAGAAAGAGTAATATAAAAGGAACTTAAATGGAAATCCAAATAGTGATGTTTGTAAGTCCCCTGGTTGTGATGCTGCAGTCACCCATTTGCTAGAGACAGAGCCAAAGAGAACAAGTGAGACCTCTGAGTCATAATGCATGGTGGTGGAGGGACAGTAACTTGAGCTATACCTTTACAATAGGCTGGGTAAAGTGGAGGAAAAGAAAGAAAGAAAGCCAGTTGAGCAAAGGCCTGGCATCAAGTCCATAGCGCCTGGTAGGCATGTGCCAGGAGGGAAAGCAGTGTGTCACAGAATGAATGTCAGAAGGAGACCACAGAGCACCAGAGATAGGAAAGAAGATTCTTAAAGTCTAGCCATGAGATCATTATGGGCATATGGATGGGAATAGATGTTCAGGCAGTGGTGGAGCAAGGGACATTTCCAAGGAAAAATCATCAGAGTAGGGAGTGGAGGACATTGCAGGGTTTAACGCTGGGGGCTCATTGTCATCTATTCATTCCTAAACTGCTTAGATGAAGACCCCTAGCTGCAAGATTGTCTTCCAGGCATTGGGAACTAAACACTAAAGAGAAGTTCTGCTCTTTGAAATTCCCTTTCTAGTGTTAAATGTATTAGAACTTAGTGGCAACAATTTGGAGAGCTTGCGATGTCATCATCTAGGTCGATTCCTTTGTAATCTGTACGTCAGGTGGGACATGGTGATGAAGACATATCTGGGATCTGTGAAATCAGCCTACAGTGCTTTCTTGTTTATGACCCATTAAGGTGAGAATGAAACTGCTCAATGGAAGATGGTGTATTTTACAAGCAAAGGGAGTGTTACCACTCCAGATTTTGTCCTACTAAATAACTTGTCATACTAAATAAGTTTCAGAGAATGCCATGGAGTTTGAAACACCTAAGGAATTGTTGAATCTTGAAAAGTTTCTTTTGGATTAAAATTAGATCCATTTAATAACCTGAAGGAAGTGAGCTGGATGGTTAAAAAAATCTCAGTGATTTTTCCCTCGGAAGTGCCCACTTTTCTCCCACCTGTGCATCCATCCTTTTCATATTGCCTTCGGCTCAGCCCTGGGTTGAATAAGACTTTAAAACTTGATGGCTCTGTATCATGTATTTTTTGTCACATCAGTTCTGAACTTGTATTATTGTACTTTCCAACCTGAGTTTTCTTCAGTTTTGTTTTTTTTGTGTGTCTATTTATCTGTCTGTCTGTCTGTCTGTCTGTCTGTCTGTCTGTCTGTCTATCTATATCTATCTGATACAGGGTCTCTATGTATTTCAGTTTGGACTGGTAGTGATCCTCCTGACTCAGCTTCCCCAGAGTTGGGATTACAGATGTGCGCCACCACACCCGGTTCCAGGACCGGCACAGCATGTGGTACTAGGAGTCAAACTTGGGACCTTGGGCTTGCAAGGCAGGCACTTATGCCGCTGAACTATCACCCTAGCCCCTTCTCTAGGTTGATTTTTTTTTTTTTAATGTGAAAGTTTGTTAGTCTAGGTAATTCCTTGATGAAAAGTTTGCCATAAAAAATAAAGATATTTGAAAATTAATGTATGATTTTTCCATGTTTTCAAAGCTTGAATTACAAAAAATGTTATCTAATTAAAATATGATACACTTAAATATATGGTTTGGAAAACTTCCTTTTGTTCAGTTGACTTAGTTATGTTTCATATCATTTTTATACTGGCCATAATTAATCAGCTATAACAATAGATACTCATAACCTGTAAGGAAAGAAGTAAACAGGTTTGGGCATAATAAGATTGGTATATTATTATGTAGTAGAGGAATATTAAAAAATATTCTTAAGGAATGATTAAGATCTCAGCTACTTTTTTAGTTTTTAATTTTTGTTTTTAGTTTTTTGAGGCAGGGTCTTATTACGTAGTTCAAACTGGCCTTAACTCACCATGGGAACATGGAGCAGTCCTCCTGTCTCACTCTCCAGTGCTGGGATAATAGGCCTGCTACACCTGGCAAGTTTGGAGCCACTGTAAATGCATTCTCTCTCAGGATCTGAATTTCTCAGTTAAAAAAACAAACAAACAAACAAAAAAAACCCACAAAAAAACATATCTTTTTCTTAAGGATGATTTGACATTTTAAAATTTCTTTCAGGTAAAAGTGCAGTCTTGAAGTGTCTCCTGGATATCCACAGAATATTTCAGGAAAACGACCCAGCTTACATTCTCAATGACCTCTACATCTCCGATTACTGTGTATGGATTCAGAAGGCCAAGTAAGTTTATATCACTAAGGAATTTTTATATGTTCACATTTTTGAAACACTACTTATCAAGAGGAAGAAAATGAAATAACCTGGGTAATAAGTTTAAGAAGAAAAAAACCTGTTTATCAACCAGACACTGTAGAAGTAACTAGACTAACATGAAATTGTTGAATTTGCTTAGGGAAGGAGGTGCAAGTAGTAAGAAGTTGATTTTATCACAAGCAATTGGAATAGGTATAGACTAGAAAATAGTGCTTCTACAGAAAGTTCTGTGTGTTCATTGCTGTCCAGTATGAAGGAAGCCTCAAGACAATGCCTGAGCCTGCCCCTGTAGTTTTAATATTTATAGTGTGGTGTGAGTGTGTGGAGGTTGTACACTCACACTGGTGTGTAGACACCTTTGGGTCCAAACCCAGTCCTCATGAGAGCTGTGCATTCACTAACTATCTGGCGTAGGGAGCCCATATTTCAAAGTAAACAAAATAGAACAGTCAGAGCCAGAGAGCAGGATTCTTGATCACATGTGTATTGCTACATCTGAACACTTGCATGTGGGCGTGACACTTGGCATGTCAAATTTTCAAAAGCATTTATGTTACCCTAAGAAAGCATAGTAGGTTAACTATGAAATTTTAAAATATGGTGAATTTTTATTTAGTGAAGGATTTCTGTAGGTCTAATTGTTGTCCAATGTGGCTAAGTTACCCATTTCAGTAGCAAGAAATGTTAATTGAGGGCATAGAGCTTTTGGTTGAAAGCTCCCTGGGTGCTGTAGAAAATGATGGTGCAATATCATTCATGACTTAGAAGGAAAATAATCATGCTATTTTATTACTAGGTTAATAATGGTGATTGGTAAATGAATGCTGTAGTATGGTTTTTGCTATGATTGTTTTGACTCAGTCATTATATAGAATTTATTCTTAATTTCTGTTTATAAGGAAGTAATTATAGAGTGAAATATTAAAAAAAACCCTTGAGAATATACCTGTTGTATAGAAAATGCTTAGGGACTGCTCCAGATATCACCTAATGACATACAGCAGGTGGTGTTAGAATTTGTGCTGGAAATCTAGGTTTGGCCAGATGGAAAATTGAATCTTTAACCCCTGAGGTCATAATGGCATGTCATCACTTCATTTGCGGCTCCTGTTAATTGAGCTTATCAAATGCAGTACCCTGCTGCTATTTCCTGATGTTACTTTCATTTTCATAATAAAATTAAATTCAAATAGTCTGGGTTTTTTTGTTTTTCTTTTGTTTGTTTGTTTTTTGTTTTTTTGTTTTTTTTTGAGGGTTGGGGTTCTATAAACATGTAATGAATGTTAAGGTTTGTAGTAGCATTCCATCTGCACGCATGCTTATTTTTTTGTTTGTTCTCTTCCTTATTAACATTATATTTCATTGAAGTTAAAGGACATAGTTCCTTGAGTTGACCTGGAGATTATCAGACTTTAAGAATTTTGTTTTTCTCTTAGTTTTAAGTTGTGGGAAGTAAGCAAAATTTTTAGGTTATTCATAGCTCCTATGTTAATAATTTATTTTTGAAAAGGAATAATATAGGTATTGTAGAATGAGTAGGAGAGGGCAACCACTAGGAACTCTTCAAATAATTCTTCTAAAAGCTGGTTCTTCAACTTCACCAATTTGAATGTAACTTGTTTCTCTAAATGGACTGCATTGTTTTTACTTAGTGTGTTAAGATTTATTTTTTCTCCTTCTTTAAAATAAAATATTTCTTTGTGTAATTTTTGTTGTAACTTTTAATTTCATCCTTAACTTCCTAAGTGCAGCATGATTGGGCTTGCTGTGTAGGATGTAATACCATCTTGCTGTGAACCTTTTCAAAGCTCTGGGTTAGTTGTACCGTGGCATATTTATATTCAGATCTTCACAATTAACTTTTTTTTTTTTTACATCAGTTATTTTTATTTTAAAGAAAAAAATAAAAACAATGGTACAAAATCTCAAAACCAGATTTTAGGAGAGTAACAATGGTTAGTACATTGTGTATTGTTACTGCCAAAGTAGTTTCTCATATTACAAGATATAGGCAAGAAATAATAAATAAACAACATAGGTACAAATCTCTCTTTTTTTAAGTCAACAGAAAATGGAAATATACTTTTTAAAGTTTCTAATACTAGGAGAAGATATCATACAATGTCTTTTAAATAAATTGTAAGTCAAAGATACAGTATAAATCTTAGAACAAAAATTAAGATTAAGCAGTATTCAGAAAATTAAATGTTTCAAAACAATTGAACAAAGAAAAAGTTTTCATGATAACAAAGAAGTACTAAGAGTAAAACATAAGATAAATAGTGGAATGGCAAGTAAATGACAAGCACTTCTAACAGTTTGAGGATAGGATATCGCACAAAGTTCTAGTGTGTTGTGGACATGCATAATGACCGTGACAGTTACTGGTGGCTAGGTGTCACTTGTGGAACTGAGCTATAGCTGTTTCCCTGAAATCCACCCTGTAGACTCAGGTGGAATCATGGCCCATAGGGTGGAAGAGAAGTCCATTTGTAGGGTGTGCTGTTGAAAATATTCTACTGCTGAATGCAAAAGAATAACTAAAAGACTACTATTGTATACCTCTTATTCTCCTCTGTTTAATTGTTTGCCCTATTTGACGGGTTCTTTCCATTCTCATTCATGGGGCTGTGATCAATTTGCTCCCTCTCTAGAACCTCATTTAGTAGTCTGTGTAGGCTTGGCTTTGTCATCATGAAATTCTTTACTTGTTCTTTGTCATGAAAATATTTCACTTCTCCATTATATTTGAAAGATAGTATTGCAGGATAGATCAGTCTGGGTTGGAATTTGTTTTCTTGCAAGACTTGAAGTACTTTGCTCCATGCTCTTCTTGACTTGATGGTTTGTGAAGAGAAATCTGCTGTTGTTCTAATAGGTTTTCCTTTAAATGTGACCTGTTTCTTTTCTTTAGCGGCTTTTAGTATACTGTTCCTATGCTGACTTTCTGGAATCTTGATTATTATGTGTCTGGGTGTGGTTTTCATTGGATTGATACTATTTGGAGTTCTATATGCTTCGGTTATAGGAATGTCAGATTGTTGTCCCATATTTGGGAAGTTTTCTGCTATTACTTCTTCCCATATTCTTTTTATATCATTTGTATTGACTCCTTCCTTCTCATTGATGCCTATTAGTCTCACATGGTTCATCTTTGCATCATCTTGCAGGTATTGAATTATTTTTTCCTGCATCCTAGTTGTTTTAAAGAGATCTTTTCTTACTTTTTCACTAGCCGCAATGGTGTCTTTCAGGTCAGAAAGTCTATTTTCACTTTCCCTCAAATGGTTTTGCCAGGTTGTGATTGAGGTTTTAATTTCTTGTATATCACTTTGAACCTGTTTCATAGATTCTATTTCTTTCCTAAATTGTTTATTCAGGGGTTCCATCATTTTTATATTCTCCTCTATTTTTTTTATCAGTGTATTCTTTAGAAGCACTTAGTACTTCTTTGATTATAGTTACCACTACATTTTTTAGTTCTAAAACTATTTCTGATCTGATTTCTTTTATGCCTTTCTACAGCTGATTCTTTACTGTCAACGCTATTATTTCAGAGCTATCTGGCATGTGATTTCCAGTTTCCTCAGTGCTAGTGTCTTCTGCATTTGTACTGGGTGGACTTGGGGCCTGAGACTGCATTTTGTTCCTTCTCTTTGTCATTTTGTATACCACTGTCTTCTTCTGAGCTTTGGTGTAGAGCTTAGATAGCGTTGTTACCTTAGCACCAGGTCCAGATCTATGAAGTTCAGATTCTTTCAGGTGGGTGTTGTTTGGTTCTGGCTGTGTGCTCCACTTCTTTCTGCTGCAGGCGTTAGAGTTGAACCCTTTGTGTCTCTCTGGGAAGATGTTCTGCTCCTGAATCAGCTGGGTGGGTCTTGACTCTAGCCTCTTTGCACGGGTTCTGCTGAAGGGTTCCCTGCTGGGCCTGCAGCCTGGGTTGAGGATCCACGGAGCCGGGTTGTCTCACTCACTCTCCGTGCCTGCGCTCTGGGTCTGTTCAGGATCCCACAGCCTGGGTCGTCTCACTCACTCTCTGGGACTGTGCTCTGGGTCTGTTCAGGATCCTGCGGCCCCGGTGGCCAGGCCTGCACTCTGGGTCTGTTCAGGATCCTGCAGCCTGGGTCGTCTCACTCACTCTCTGGGACTGCGCTCTGGGTCTGTTCAGGATCCTGCGGCCCCGGTGGCCAGGCCTGCACTCTGGGTCTGTTCAGGATCCCACGGCCCTCGGTCATCTCACTCACTCCCCGGGCCTGTGCTCTGGGTCTGTTCAGGATCCCGCGGCCTGGGTCATCTCACTCACTGGCCGGGCCTGCGCTCTGGGTCTGTTCAGGATCCCGCGGCCCTTGGTCATCTCACTCACTTGCCAGCCTGCGCTCTCCACAATTAACTTTTTATCAGTTTTTGTCTTCTGGTTTTTTCTTCTTTGTATAATATGCCATTGAAACAGAGTACCTTATTTTTATATTTTAAAGCAGTTGGGTATTTTCTTTAGTCTGTTTTTGATGATTTTGGTTACAATAAAAGCTGTAAAATTTTATTTGAAATATCAGACAAATGCACAATTGTAGTAGAATTCAGTTTTTACAGTCAGACATTTATTTTGGCACAAACTTGTTGGAATGTAAGTAGTAAAGACATTCATACATGAAATTAATGACCTTCGAGCAATACTTATCCTAGCTTTGTTTTAGTACTAGGTAGTTATATCTTATGGTACCTGTGTCTTATAGAAGATACGTGCAAATCTTAAAAATGAAAGCTTCTGGATTTTTATTCCAAGTTAGGTTTTGCACATTAGTTTTCTGAAAAAGCACTCCTGCAATACTTTTCTTTAAGCCATGCTGGAAGGTTCATGTAGTGCTCTTGACTGCAAATATTCCCTGGATGGCACCAAGAGGAACTGATTTGCTTGAGGTCATGGCTTATAAAAGTTCGGTCTGTCATAGTGTCATATCTTCCAGGTC